TGAACTTCTAAAAATGTTACATCAATAGTCTCTTTGAGCCAAATTTAAGAATACGTTCATCATAAGCTCGTCGAGTGGAAGTGTGAATTAATCAAAACATATATATATATATCACACGTGAGTTCAGCAATATGTTTTTTCTCAAACATTACTTTTTATATCTTGAATTTCTTGAAAGCCTAGATAATTATTCTCGTTTTAAATGTCAGTAACCGAATTTGAACCCCGAGCATCAGTGAATCAAGCTCTTCATCTATTGATCAACCTTTTCATGCATTAACCTATGACATCATCATCAAGCTCTAAGAAGTATATTGATGAGCGTGTGATTAATGCATTTCCAAATTTGTCGTAGAGAGACCATTATACTAATGTAATGTTTTTAAAAGTTCATATACCATTGATGTAATTTTTGAAGTTCAAAAGGAGTCCGTGTAATTTCAAAGAGTTCAAGTTAAAAAGACACAAAAAATCATTGATGTTTTTGTGTTTAAAAATAGCTAGGGTCATGCTAGGGTGACACCACATGGGTGCTACGTACCGTGGATGCACCCATGCTTTGCACACACACAGACGTTAATTGCCTGTGCGGAACACACGATTAACGTCTCTATTTGTCTTTGTGTTTGTGGAGCATGGGTGCCCCCATGGTAGCACCATGTGATGACACCCTAACATTATTCTTAAAAATACTCCCGTTCACCCTTCCAAGAAGATTATTAGAGTATGACTTTTTTGGTTAAATTGTCCAACATTTTGACCATAAATAATATTCTCCCGTCCCTTAAAGATTGAGACGGTTTAACTAAAGTGATAAAATAAGGAGAGATAATTTTGTGTTGAATTTCCAAAAATACCCTTGATGTGATATGTAGGGTATGAAAAAGTAAGGGGCAATAGTGGTTTCTTAATAGAAATGAGAATGACTTTAAGGGACACAATTTTTTTAAAACAGGACTGACTTTACGGTGCAAAGAGAGTATATAGTTTTATATAATTAAATGTTATAAAAATTTGTTATATTAAAATTATATTTGAAAATAAGTCCTACTTTACTAAATTTATATTACTCCGTATAACATAATACTCCCTCCGTCCCATCCAATTTGATTACAAATTGGGTTTACGAGGATAAACATCTCACTTTTTAAAATCATTTATTTACAAATCGGTATATCGATAAAAAATACTCACTCCTTCCCAGTGTATTTGTCAAGTTTGACTTTTTCGAGTCAAACTGGACAAACTTTGAGCTTCAAAAGTTTTTTAAAATAAGAAGTGACAAGATTATTTGATTTTATCAAATAGTTAATGAAATTGCGTGAACAAACAAAAGTTATTGAGAGGAGAGAGGAAAAAAAATTATAATCAAATTAGGAACGGAGGTAGTATGACTTAAAAAGTCAAAATGTGATGATCTTTTTTTTGGGATGAAGTAGCTAGAAAAGAAGTCTAGATGCAAACTACTCCCTCCGTCTCAATTTGAATCGTCTGTTATTGTTTAAAATACTTAACTGAAATTATTTTAAAATAATTTTATTGAAAATAAGTGTAGAATTTAAAAAATTAAAATAAATTTATGTTTTTTAAAAACTATGTTCTAGATCAAAATTTTTACGAAACTATGAGTGAAATTACAATTTTATTTTATCAAAAGATTAGTAAAATTAATAAAAAATGATTAAAATTTAACACAGAGAATGATAAATAGACAACTTATTTGGACCTCGCCTAAAATCTCGAAATAGGGTGGATACATATAATAATTAACAACTCTCATTTTTTGGTGTGATATTATTATATTGATGAATGTATGTAAAAATACTCTCTTACTTTCAAAAAAAACATTTCTACCTTAATTTTTTTTTTGTGCGTATCTCACAATTTTTTTTGACCCCACTTAAAATGTCTTAAATGCATGTTAGACAATAATAATAGTATTGGTTGTGGTAGTGTTTCATTATTAGTCAGCTTCCTAATCCTATTTGTGGTAGATGTTGTATGTTAGTTAGTTTCTATTCTATATTTCTAGTTGTGTTAGGAGTCTCTCCTATATATACTCTATCATGTACTTCATAATTCAAGAGAGCAATATTATTTTTCCAATATTTCAACATGGTATCAGAGCCATCGCTTTTGGTGACCTAAAAGAGTTAATTGCTTCCGCCGCCGCTGCCGGTAATTCCGGCGACAGCGGCTCCACCCTATTCACCTCTATTTTCTTTTCCTTCTTTTATCCTCAAATAAAATTCTCCATTCAAATGAAAAAAAAAAGAAAAAAACCTCTATTGAAATCACACACAAAAAAATCATCAAAGGCGAAACTTCTCTCTTGTCATCTCCATGATTCTTCAAAAAAAAAACCAACTCCACACAAACACTCTCAACTCATCCTTGTATCTTCTCAAAATCATGGAAAAAAAAGATAGTTGTTTCTCTACAATTTACTATCGAAGATTCTTAGACCTAGATCTTTTCTTCATCACCAATTCTTAATCCCCTTTTTTCTCTTTCAAATCACTCATTCTAATCATCAGTGTTTCTTCTCTTTATCCTTTGTTAACCAATAAAATTTCAAAAAAACACAAAAGCAAAGCCAAGAAGGGAAGTAGTGAAAGAGGAAAGAATACCTCTACACCCCTTCAAGAAAGAAATAGGGCATTGCCCGGATCCAAGAAAAAGACAAAGAATGTCAAAGATCTTCAGTCAAAC